GTATTTTTTTTGCCTTCAGTTTGGAATGAGTGCTGACTTCAACAGAGCTGAACTTGGGTATGAGAAGGCAGATTTGCCCTGGTGGATAAAAGCAAACTTCAGCTCCAAAACGCCGAGAAAGGAGTTTTAATAACTTCAGTGACTGCTGACTGAAACACTGTTTCCAACGAGGTCTTAACTTACTGACCTTGGTGATTCTGGTGGTGTGTTTGATTTACCTTCCAGTTCCTGCAGCTGCAAAATGAGAGAGGCCTTCTCTGAAACCTTGGCCGAGAAGTGTTCGGCGCAGCGGAGCCTAAACAAGCGCTGCTGTCACACTCAGGTGACACCATCCACCAGTTAGGAGGGATGGCTTGCTTTAGATGCAGAGAGAGAGGCATTTGTAACAGCTCCTGAAGCAGAAGATTCCACACATAAAAAAGCTGTTTCAGGTTTCCTAATAACCAGTAACACCCAGCAGGTGATTTGCACACGTTGAGGGTTGACCCCGGTTCTGGCACTTGCCCAGTTCATGCAGCAAGAAATAGAGAAGTGGATTTCCCTTGTACCGTTTTCCTCTTCTCCTCTCTTTCTTTTACCACACACAAGCTTCAAGGTAAATCTATGGACGAAGAGATTCAGCACTGCTGACTCTGTAGTCAACATAGGGAAGTCCAGAAATTCTTGAGTGAGTTGGTTTTGCCCTTCTGTTCCCTGAGATCCTAGAACTGCTTATCATGTACATAGTGATTGGATCAAATCTGGTTACCAGAATTGCTGCAGCTGTAATATTCCATAAAATGTAGGCCCTCAGTGTGGAATGTTAAATATTAAGCACATAACCATGCCAGTCTGGACACTGGAAAGAGAGGTGCTTTGGAAAATGAAATAAAACTTTTTTTTTCCTGTAGCCACATGTTCATTAAATTACTCTGTGCTTTAGCAGTAAATCTATGTGGGCTGCATATATTTGCTAAGAGTTCAACAGCAATTTGAATTGGAAGTCTAACCTGATAAAAGCAGGGTTAACAATGAGGTTAAATTTACTTAAATTTACTTCTTTATTATTTTAATGAACTTGATTCTGAATTGCCTGGTTCTCAGATTTAAAAGGGATTACCTTGAAAAATCTCTTCCAAAGTTTAAATGACCTTCAAAGGGATCTTTGTAGAAACTTAACTCTGGTTAAACTCTAATTCCAGTGCTGTAGTAGCCAGGATTTTTTTTTTTTCTCCTTTTTTGATACTGAAGTTAGTTAGGTTATTAAGTTACCCTTCAGCAACCACATAACTTCTTTTTTAGCCAAATACAAATGAAGTTGATATTTCAACTGTTGTGAGCTAGTATTTCAACACTGTTTTGTTATGGGATATGGTATTTAAAATTACTGCTAGAAATTTTTTTTTTAATATATAAAAAATTGAGACAGGTTTCAATCAAGAGCAGTAGCAAGCCACACACATTGATTCTATGTCTGGGTTTGTGCTTGTTTTTTTGTGTGTATGTGAATATAAAATATTAGGCCTGGTGTATTGAAATTCTTCACCTCGAGGTTTATGCTCTGCCCTCCTATTTTGGCAAGAACATTTTGCCCTTTGGTAGCCTGCCAGATTTGATCAGAATTGACTTAAATCAAGGAGCGCTTCTTGAGGCAGAGAAACTTTCTGTTTGGGGGAAAGGAATGAGAAGATGGAGTGGTAAACGCCAGGGAAAAATTGGGAAAAGAGGTGCCAAATCTGTTTTCAAAGTTACTGTGAAATCTTTGTTTGAGGGGAGAGAGAAACGTGCATAAGAGCTGGAGCAGTGTCTGTTATAAGCCACTTGTCCCTTCTGCTCCTACTCATCCAGCACTGTTGACTCAGAAGGCTGCTTGCATCACTAGTTCACAACAATTATCCTTAAGAAGAGTATTGATGTCGGTGTTTTTCTGCTTCTTCCACTATTTAAGATGCTATTTATCATACAGTATTTCAGAGGTGGCATTATTACCTGGGAATTCAAGTGTGCCTGGCTGGTCTTTTTAAGACATAGAAATGCAGTGTGTTGTGTGGAGTGTAAAATGTACAGAATTACTGTTATAGTTATCTAAAATGGTACTTCAGTACAGCAATATATACATATATATGTGCATTTGTATGTGTATGGATATGTGTATGCATGCACAGATATAAAAGTACATGAGAAAGTGGCACTCTCTGCACTGCAGTGCATTGTAATATACTCTGCTTCACAGAGCACTGGACATGAAACTGGAAGAGTTGAGTCCTACCCGTAGCTTTGCCTTAGTTGTAGGGGGTTTTCCCAAATAAAAACTTAAAAATTGCATTTGTAAATTACTCTAAAACAAAATACATTCCATTTTATCCAGTGGTTGTGCCCTTATTCTTCTGAAAGGCATTTATGCAAGGTTTTGAAATTTAGAATTTCAGTGTTCAACAGCAAGATATGCCAATGATCCTCTCTATTAAGTATATTTATAGAAATCTAACACATACATTCAAAGTAACTGAACATAGCATATATCATCATTTCATGATTCCTTTTTTCATTACCATCATTTCCAAATAATGAAAATAAAATTAGGACCCCTGCTACAGTAGTTACTACAGAAATAGAGGCTTAAGTGGATATCTTTCTGCTCTGGCAAGCATAAGGTTGTGCTGTATTTTGCAAAGGGAGACAGTTGATTCATTTTCCTCGCTAAAGTGGGAAATAATATTCCTACACTAGGAGTGTATTTAGCTAAACTTGCAAAAACCTGTGTGACAAGTGTTTGAAATGCCTTGCAATAATATTTCTATTGTTTTCTTATTTGTATTTTCTGTGTAAGGTTTTTGTGAAATGGCATATATAACCAACTTTTTCTATCTGAGCTGGGAGTAATTATTTATTTAGTAAGACTTTCAATTAATTGGAGCCAAGAAATGGAAAGCCTTCAATTACAAGAGTGAAAATACGGTATTTCCAAAGAGTTCTGCATGTCTAATATATTTATATGGGATATTTCTATCCAGCATCTTTGAAATTGTTCTACATTAATATTTGATCTCTCTTTAAGTGTACACAGCACTAAATAAATTGACTGCAGTCTATGTTTAAGAAAAATCTGCAAACGATTGTCTCCCATTTTTTTGGTATAGATATATTGTTGTTGGGATGCACGTCACTCATCTAAAGAAACAACCAACCAAAACCCAAAAAACCCTCAGACACTTCAAGATCAAGGTCATTTATCTGAATATGAGTGGGGAATGAGCATGTGATGTCTGGGTGAGGTAGCACTATGATACCTGTACTGGAGTCACTCAACTGGGAGATGCTCTCCCATGCAAACGTGGTAAAACCCCTTGAGATGAAACCAAGGCGCAGCAGCAGACCTCTGAATTCCACCCCCGCCCCCCAAAAAAGAGGCAGGGCAGCAACAGAATTAAAAAATAATTCCTCAGATTGCAAAATTTCACAAGTTTTCTTAAGATCATTCAACACTATCGGGCATAATTATCTGCCTCAATGCACCAGGATCTTCCCCTCCATGCCACCCTCTATGTGTGCACATAAAAGGAAGATGAAACAAGTATTAGCTGCTGATACAAGACTATGAGGTGCCTGGTAGCCTGGGAAGGTTGGCTTTTTCTGGAAGAGAAAATGACAAACTAACTGGTCTTTTTATGACCTTTTCACTATTTTATAATAAGTATCCATGGTAACATGACTGTTCTTTCATGCTGGTATGTAGCATCAAAATAACAATAAATACTGATTTAAAATAATCTGAATGAATAGAACTTGCTGCCAGGTGTGCTGAAAAAAAGATACTAGCGTTAGGACACAGGAAGAGGAGTCAGAAATAAATTATTTTTTTTTTTTTTGGCCGTGTATGTTGCCTTTTCTTCTTTTCTTTTCTCTCCCTTCCCTCTCAGTTTGTTATTGAAAGACATAACCAATAAGGTAATTTATTAATTCTATTTGTATGCCATGTGAGTATCTTGTTAGAGGACAATGCTAATTTTAAAGTCTTCCATTCATTTCAGTGAGTTTCTCTTTGCTTTGATGGAATTCAAAATTACTCCTCAATAAGTAGCTGGATGCAATGACACACCAGGTTAAACTACGGAAATTTTTATTTTATGCTTGTGATGTATAGTGTAGTTTCTGGATGCATTTCCTATGGTCAAACAAGCACACAGTTGACCAAAACTCTTTGTTGTAATGACCACACTTCATTCACTTGCAGACAAGTTTGTTTGATTGGGGTTTTTTGGGTATTGCATAGCCAGGTGATTCTTGTTTAACTATTTTGCTTTCATGTGGTTTGCCATCAGATGAACTTCACTTGTGTCAAGGTAGGGAGTACCCACATCCTGAAACATCTTTAACCAATGCAGATTCACTTCACTAATGATTGAGATCAGGTGAATTCAAACACAGGAAGCAGGAAAGGGGTATTTATTTCTCCGAAGGTCCAACTGGTTGTTTCAGGTGTTGAAAGGCTTTCAGAGATGACATTAACGTTTCAAAGTCCTATTTTGGAAGCTATTTCCGCTGTTACCTTCAATTTGCTATGAAGGTGAATGAACACCTGATTGAAATAGTAGCTCGTGCGTTCCTGCTTTGCAGAACTGACACCTGGGCTGGGTGTAGTGACAGGCTGCTCAGGGGCTTGACACCTGCTAGGAACAGCTCCCTTTCTCTGTATCACCTGTCTCGTTTATATTCACACCACACAAAGGCGCTAGCCGCAAAATACCGGCGGTTTTTTCGTTGCAGGTTTCTCTTTATTTATTTTATTTTTTTTTTTTTTTTTTTTTTTGACTTGCAGGAGGTGTTTCTCGGCCGCGCCCCGCGGTGCCCTCGGAGCGGAGGCCCCGGGCATCCCCGTTCTAATCCCTGCCCGGCCGCCCCCAAGGGGCGCGTCCTGGCGCATCCCGGCGCATCCCGCGGGCCGCGCTGGAGCCGCCGCCCGCCGCCGGCTCTGCTCTGCCTCCCGATCCCATTCCCGGCGCTCGGATCCCGCTCGGCGCTCCCGGCTGGCGCTGGGTTTGCGCTGGCGGAGGCAGGACCCTCCCGCAGCGGGCGGGGCGGCTCCCCCGGCGAGGCGAAGTGCGGGAGGAGGAGACGGGGACAGAGCCGGAGCGAGGACCAGTGCGAGGAAGGGAACAAACGGGGGAGCGCCAGTATGAAATTCATCTCTGCCTATTATTTGCTGCCTCTCTTTGCTGCGCTGGTCTTCGGCACTAGGTGAGTACCGAGAGCTATTATCCTTAAGGTGCTCCTGCTTTGTTTGCCTTTTTTTTTTTTTTTTCAGATTTAGTGCTTCGAAGAGAGATAACACGGGTTTCTGCTTTTACTGGGGTATTAAGTTTAGAGCAGAGATCATCGGATTCTCATCTGTCCCATTCCCCCTCCCGATCCTCTGAAAGATACTGAGCGTTCTCTTAGTGGTTTTAGGCTTTTTTTTGCTTGTTTGTTTAATGTCAAGAAAGAGATGCTCCCGTGTAACTTGACCCACAGCTTGTGGGATGTAACAAGACAGTGACAAATATAAGCTTTATATATAGAACAGTAAAACCAGATAGACTCTCTTTCGTTGGAAAGAAAGGCAGACAGCTGAAACTGAGAACATGCTAACGTTTTCCCTTACAGAGGGCAAAAAAATTAGAAACACTTGAACAATCTTGTCTCAGTTTAGGATTCTCTATCTGAACATAGACCTCGGAGGTCTTGTTTGTTTTTTTGTTTTTTTGTTTTTTACTGTGAAATGCAGGTGAGGTGTTGCAGTGTTATCTCAATGCCAGTAAACGTGTAAAAAGTTGCTGCAATCTAGAAGAATTCCTTTCTGTGCAAGTGCAACAAATACGAGAAAATGCGAACAAAATCTATTTCAGCTTAAAAATAACACCTGCTCTGGCCATGCAGTGTTCTGATAAGATAGTGTGTTCTGCTCAGCTGCTGAGAGATAATATATTGTCCATCTTGTAGGTACAATATGTTCAGCAAGGAAAAGATAAAGCTGAGGCACTCTATCCCATTGTCTTGATGTACACAGATGGGAAGTTAATGTTGGGTGCAGAGCAGATCTATTATAACACTGCTCTCAGTTCAGGCTTCTCAACTTCCAGCTCCTTATAAGTAAATCAAGCTCAAATTTTGACTGTGGTATTGTTCTGCAGCGTAGGAATAATAACACAGTAATAAGTCCATAATAAATAGTAGTAAGTCCAATGTGTATTTCTCAGAGGATATATGCATGTATATTTTTCAGGGAAATGCGTTTTTTTTTTCCCTTATTCTTGGTCTCTTCATGTAAATTCGGCATCAAAGCAGCTTCACGTTTTAAGGCTTAATTGTTCACTAAGATGTAAAAGAAAAGAGGGAAAAAAATGTGTGCCTGCTACATACTAGTAAGGGACAGCAGGAGCTCGTTGCTCTATATACACAGCAAATAACAACTGAAAATCTCTGAGTGGGAAAAAGTCCGAATGCAGGGAGAAATCCTGGAATCAAAGAGTTGGAAGGGACCCACAAGGATCATTGAAGTCCAGCTCCTGGCCCTGCACAGGACAGACCCAGGAATCCCACCACGTGACTGACAACCTTGTCCAAACACTTCTGGAGCTCTGTCAGGATTCGTGCTGTGACCACTTCCCAGGGGAGCCTGTTCCAGTGCCCAAACACCCTCTGGGTGAAGAACCTCTTCCTGAGATCCAACCTCGGGTCAGGAAATTGTTTCAATTATTCAGTTACTTCCCTCCTTTAGAGTGGGTTGTTACTGGCACAGGAGGAGTACTTTTTTTAGTAAAAATCCCTTCTGATTAGGGATTCTACAGTGCTGGTCCATATGAACCGTGCTGATGTGCTTCGGAATATAAAACTCAGAGGGAAATTGTAATATATTGTGCTTCAGTTCTTCTGATTTAATGAGATGTCTGAGGGAACTTTCACCAGCAATCAAGTGTGAATTAATTCAGATTAATAATTTTATTATGCTCATTAAAGAGTGATGCATCCTTGGAAGAAAAGTTAAGATGGAGAGGAAGCACCAAACCAGCTTCTGCAGATGTAGGTTTGTATCTTGTATGAGCTAGTGGAGATTAACCTGCACTGAAACGAGCTATGGAGTACTTAAAAAACCTGCTTGAACATTCATGGCAATCAAGGTATCTATTGTAGAGCCCTGAAAGTGGGTCCTTAACTTCATGACCAAATATTAGTGGTTTGAAAAATGAAATGTAGCTCATTCTGTAAAAAAAGAAAAAAAAATTCAAGTCCCTCCTCACCTTTCAAAAAATAGTTGGAAAGAATATCAAGAAGTTGAAGTTGGCATGTGAATACTAATTATGAAAATTATGATTCTGAGGAGTGGAAACACTTTGATAAGAGTACAGTTTTGCAGCCCTTGATGATTTATGTTCTTATGTAATTGAGGGATGAAAATGATCAATGTGAGACAAATTCCAGTTAGAATTCCACCCAAGTGGAATAGGTGTTGCAAAGTGAAGTTTTTTGGTTTTGGTGCCAGATTGGTTATCCTGTTAAAAAGGAGACTGAAACTCCACTGTACGGTTGGAGACTTACAAAAGTCCTGGATTACTGTCTTCAGCTTGGTTTGTAACTGGCTGTGTAGAACACAGAGTAATTTTTCAACAGCACATGCTTTAAGTTTAAAAAGTGATACAGTGCTATCGATGTGCCATCTACTGGATTATTATCTCCTCCAGCAGAAGGCAGCTCTGTCTGTGGCAGTTAGTACTTGTAAATGTATGACTAATGCACTGGTTGGACCTAACAGAGTAGGTTTGCAGGACTAGTTGTGTTTGCAAAAGGCAAAGTCCGGCGTCCTGCTGTGTGAAATTGCTTAGCTAAGACAAAGCGTCAGCCTTGCAAGATGGAAAGTTTTCCATAGTAAGTATTTATTTTCATAACAGTTTTTGCTCTGTTTCGTACACTGGTGCTGAAATCAGTGAGCACAGAACTTGCTGCAGAGGTGGGCAGTCGATGTTTTTTGTGATGCCAACTTCTTTGCATTATGTCGTGGTGATGGTTTTGGAAGATCTCGTGTGGTGGTGCATGTCCTCAGGCTTAATTGCAAACAAATATGAACTGATGAGTTCAACTACGTTAACACAGCCTGTCACATTTTCTGATTTAACAGTATTGTTAAAAAGAGGAAAATACACAGCTGTCACCGTTTTTCATAACTGTGTGTAGCTTCTAAGCTTGGTATAAAATTATATGCATGAATCAATGCCTATAAAATTACAGAAAGTTCATGGTTTTGAAATAAACCATCTTTTCTGCATTACTTAAGCTGGATTTTGGTGTGGCTTTGAGCCACAGTGATAACTCTAACTTCTATTTCCAGTTGGTTGTAGTGCAAAAGAGGTACTAAGATTGAGGTGTATTTGTCTGTCCAGTTAACTATGTCTGTTTTGATGGAATATGTAAAAACTACTGCCCTGAAATCAGTCTCTCAAAATGTAAAGGGGAACAATTTTGAAGGTGAATTTAGCTTCGTAAAACTATTCTGAAGTTTGTGGTTTCCTGTGCACTTTTATGTTTCCTTTGACATTTCGGTGTTGGCAGATCTAATGTGATAGTTGTATATATGTTAATTTTTTTCAAACTGTGCTGGAGACAGTATAGGTTTTTCGTACAGCATCAGAAATGAGCCTCAGTGAATGAGTTTAGGGAGTGGACACAGGGTGCAACAGGCTCAGGGTGTGATTCTGTGGCCAATTGTGCACTTTTGTGGTCCCTGACACCTGAACAATCTGTCTGGAAAGCTGTTTGTAGAAGGGAATGCTTACATGAAGTCAGGCATTGGGATCAGAAACACATTATTTTGTCTAATGAGGCTTCCCTAGCTTTAGCTAAAATGAGTGTTACTTAAATGTTACTATTGAAAGGCTGTATACCAAAATTTTTGTCTAAATGACAAAAATATGACTCAGAAGAAGCTTGATGTGAACAAACTTTTCCTTTTTTTTTTTTTTTTGGTGTGTGTGACAGTGCATTCCTTTCTGGCCACATGTGAAATAGGACAAAGATACAAGACACTGAATAATTTGATTGAAGTAGAATGCTTAATAGCAGAGAACAGGACCATAAACCCAACAAGATACACTTTAATAACAATAATAATATTTCCATTACAGCAACTCATTAAATGCATGTACAAACAACAGGGCTGTAAAAGGCAGAACTTTTTTTAATGGTAGAGAAGTAGCTGCTGGTCTTTTTTCCACTGTCAGTCTTAGTACCCTGAGGTTACAAAGCAATCTCTAATTCCCAGGCTTCAGAAGAATGCTCCTTCTGTGGTTTGTAGCCAGGACAAAACTACTGTGCTCATTTCAAGTTGCTCAATGAAGGTATGGGTGTTACCTTCAGCAGGCATCTGGTGTATGTCTATGGTTGGAAGTGATAGAAGTATAATGAATCTGCTTATCAAGCTTGAGAACCTGACACAAATGATTGTTTTGGTTTGTTTTTTTTCCCCCAGATATATTTTCAAGGTCGACTATTTCCTCTGCATTTGTTGCCTTAAGTAATTATTTTTTAAGGGAAGTGAAAATAGTGTCTTTCTCTCCTTTCAGATAAAGGTGTGTAAAGATCTCAGTCTGAGACCTGAGGAAAGATAAAGAGGAACATATTTGACTTTACTGTACTGGGGTGGAGGAGGAGAAAGTCGAAAATCCTTGTTTCTAGTTTTCAAGATCATTTTGAGCTATGATCAGGTGTTGAAAGTGACTGTCTTTCATTCACACTGGTACGAGAGTAGCTGGAATTCTGCCCCTTCCTGGACTTTGAAGTGGAAGCACGAGGCTCAGGCTGGGTGCTGATGCTCTGGGCTGTCACCACGCCATGGTTACAGTGTCCCTGGCAGGTAGCCAGGAGCTATTCTCGCTCCTGAGAGCTCAGGCCAAGGTCCAGCAGTGTCCCTCTTTTTCCCCAGGGCTGAGGATGAACTCTGCAGAGTGCCAGCAGGCTGCTTCTTTAGCAGAAAACACTATGTGGTGTTTTTACTGTAGGTTCTTAATTTTATTCTTTCAGGAGGGTAATAACTCTACCATTTGTCCCCTGCTTAGAATTCAGGCTTTTTGCTGTCTGAGTTTTCTGGGCTGTGAAAGCTTTCTGATTTCTCTCAATGTGCCTGATGATGATGCTTGTTTTGTTAATGGCTTGTAAGGACTTACATTTGAGGTACAGAAGTAGTATTTAGATACGGCTTGTGGTGTACT